CGACCCACCCCGCGACGCACCCGCGACCCTCCCGCGACACACCCGCGACACACCCGCGACCCCGCCCGCGACCCACCCGCGACCCACCCGCGACCCACCCGTGACCCATCCCGCGACCCACCCACATTGCTTTAACGAAAAAACAACGCCTGTGGCGGCCTCACTGCAGAATTTGAAATAAAAGTTAGGCACTTGCGGCGGGCTTCTTCAGAGCCTCGCAGACTGCATACGTCTTCGCCGCCCCCTCACTCTTATTCGGAGCTGTGGGGTGCTACGTATTATCTCAAGACGTTGCATCTCTGGGATCCTGCGGCATCGCCCTCCTCGACCCAGCCGCCCCTCATCCGCTCACACCTCCACCCTCGACCACCGATCCTCTGTCTTTGGTCCCCGATCCACCCCCACTCCTGCCTCCACCCCCGCCCTGGGCAAGATGGGGCGGCGGCGGCCTCGTCCTCCTCCTCCTCCTCCTCCTCCTCCTCCACCGGCTCCTCCATTCTCCTCTGCCCCTTTTCCTTATAGATCCGTCGCCGTGCATGCGGCACGTTGAGGCGTGGAAGGGTTTGCCAAGGGCTGTCTGGCAGGGCTTCTGCAGTCTTCAAAGGGACCCCCCCATCCTCCCGGTCACACGCAGCCGATTGCACTACAGCTACTCCCCTTGGCTCCCTGGGCGACCAGGGCGCCTCCCTGAGGGTCTCCAAGGCTTCCATGACGGCCCAGGAGGCCCTCAAAACGGTCCAAGAGGGCCTCGAGTCGCCGAACGATCGCTCGAAGACGCCCCATATGGCACCAACATGCCCCAAGAGGCCTCCAAGATGCCCCAAGAGGTCTCCAAGAGGCCTCCCAAGAGGGCCCCAAGAGGCTAGTCATTGATGTTCCTTCGGTGGTTGAAAGATTTTGGTGTTACCGCCTTTTCGGCTTTCCGACGCTCCAAGACGGCCCTCGAAGCCCCAAAAACCACCAGCCCAAGAGGCCTCCAAGAGGGCCGCAAGACGACCTAAGAGCGCCCCAAGACGGCCCAAGAGGCGCCCAACACAGGGCAAGAGAGCCCCAAGACGGCCACAAAGGGGCCCACGAGAGGGAACACGAATCGTGAATCCGAACCTTCCGGCCCGAGAGGCCCCCAGGAGGCTCCAAGAGGCGCCCAGGAGGCCCCGAAGAGGCCCCGAAGAAGCTCCGAAGAGGCCCCAAAAGGCCCAGAAGAGGCCCCAAAAGGCCCAAAAGAGGCCCCAAGCGGCCCCAAGACGCCTCCGAGAGGCCTCAAAACTGCCTCTCAGAGGACCCCGAGAGGCCTCCCACAGGATCCCAACGAACATCCAATAGGCTGGGCTGCGCGTTTCGTCAGAGAGATCCTCACTACGTATGATCCTGAAGCTTGAAAACGAAGCATTAACACTCATGGAGGGGGGCATGTTCCAAATGGAACTCCTGACTCAGCGCCGCTCGCATTCGTCTGAAAAGTTTGCAGCAGCTACCAGGGTGGAACGTAGGTGGTTCTACGCATGGGGATGTTGCCTTGGCGCCGCGCACGTCCATTTAGAAAGCTTGCAGCAGTCACAAGACGGAAGGTGAACGTTTTCTCGCTCGGCATCTCGACATTGAGCGTTTTCTCGTTGGGCATCTCGACATTGGGCATTCGACAAAGGGGGGTCTTGTTGTTCTGGACCTCTGCTTGTAGTGCGACTGTTTGCAACAGTGCGTCCTGTGGGGGAGACTCCACCTGCTTGAAACTGGCGCCAAAAACACCAAGATCTACTCCATGGGGGGGCAAGAGAGCCCAGAATCGAGTCGATAAGTCGGATCGGCGATCGAACTGAATCGGATCGGCGGAAATCGGCAGCCGAGTCAGAAAAAGTCGAATCTGCGGAAATCCGCAGGCTAGTATGCCTCCAATGAGACATCGGAGCCCAGATCAGACTCCCAAGTCGAATCGAATCGGACTTGGAAACAATCGAAATCGAATCGAACCGAGTCGGAGGAATCGCAAGGAGCGCTGGGTGGGGGGTGCTGCGAGGGCCCGCGCCGATCGGCAAAACGAGGAACGAGAACATAAACTATAAGCATAAACTTTTGGCGATCCGCGCGGATTTCTTGAATCCGGGCTGGGCCCCGCTCCCTGGCGCGCGGAGCGCGCCAGGGGTGGCGCCGGAGGCGCCGCCAGGGGGGCCCGGCGCGGATCCAAAAAATCCGCGCGGAGCGCCAAAAGTGTGTGTATGGCGTTGTCTCTTCTTCGAGGGGAGGGGGGGGCGCAAGGGCCCGCGCTGGTGGGCAAAGCGAGGAAAAAGAAAGCAAGCGCGAGCACGCGTCGTGTTCCAAACATGGGGTCCTCCCGCCTTCGCGCCACACACGCACGCGTCCGTCCACGCCGGTCGACAGCAGTTACAGGGATTGATGGGCTTGTTTTCCACT